CAGATAAGTGAGTCACTGATTTCAGTCCAAGTATCTGCATATGCTTACAAGCATGCACATTTTAGTTCCCCTTTTATAGATGTAAATCTGGAATATGCACATTCTCTGATCTGTGCACATATTTCAGGACACTTTTGCCTCTGAAACAGAGGTTTGATGTGTTTTCATTTGGTGTGATTTGATTTGGTTTGGTTTAGGGGAGGGTACTTTAGTTTTGTGGTGTTTTTTTTTTTAAAATCTGTTTTGTATCGTGAGTGAACTTGCTGAGGAGGCACTCTATCCTTTTGTCCAAGTCACTGATGAATAAGTTAAACCATACTGGGGCCAGTATAGAACCCTGGGGGCACCACTATTGACAGATCTCTGACTAGACTCTGTGCCACTGATCACAACTTTCTGCGCTCTGCCCCTCAGCCACTTCTCAATCCACTTCACTGTCCACTCATCAAATATGAGTTAGCTTTAGTGAACCCATGCTGACCACTCCTGATAACCTTCTTGTCTTTCATGTAGGCAGAGATGGCCTCCAGAATGAGGCACACCATTAACTTTCCAGGGACTGAGGTGAGGGTGATTGGCCAGTAGTTCCCTGGGTCCTCTTTCTTGCCTTTTTTGAATTTTGGGGTGACATTTGTCATCTTCCAATCTTCAGGCACCTCTCCTGATCACCATGACTCTTCACAGATGATTGTGAGCAGCCTGGCTATGATGTTCACCAGCTCTCTCAGGACTCATGAATGCATCCCATCAGGGCCCATGGACTTGTGATTGTCCCATTTAATTAGGTGCTCTCTGATCCAATTCCCTTTGACCAAGGAAAGATCTTCCACATTTTCATTTAAACTGGTCTCTTGGGTCAGAGATTCCCGAAGGCTGATCTTATCAGTGAAGAAATAACTCTGCCTTCTCTGCATTCCCTGTAATCAGGGTCCCTTTTCCATTAACTAGTGGGCCCACAGTATCCTTTGTTTTACATTTGGTATTTAACTATTTGAAAAAGCTGGTTTTGTTATCCTTTCCATATCCAAACAAGCCATGAAAGCAAGGGATTGGAGCACCACAGGAGAAAAAGGGGCACATTGGGATCTGCTGTTCACCATGGCAGGACAAACACAGCAAGCCTTCACCTGAAACACCTTCACGGCCAGGTTCATTTTCAGTTTCTTTCAACAACGGCATGATTACTCCTTGCAGACTGCTTGTTTTTTAGTACTGTAGGGGAAAGAAAAACACCTCCCTTTCCTCTCAACAGCTTTTACACAGCTTTAGTTACATGGGAATCAGCTGATGGGAGAGAAGTACCTACATGCCCTTCATCCTGATAATCATATCAAGTTTGCTTGGGACATAAGTAAAAATATTGGTGCTTTTTGGTGTGCTTTACTTAGGTTTGATTTTGGGGGGTTATTTTTTGTTTTGGTTTGATTTTGCTTGGGGTTGGTTTTTCTTTTCTATTAAATCTGTTACATCACCTCTCAGAGCAGAAAAAAGTCCAACCAATTCCATGACTTACTTGAGTATTTTCACATGCTTCCAGTTCTCTCTTTTATAACACTTGCCTTGCTTTATCGTGCTTGGAGACAGAATAGGAAACTCCATTCAGCACTGGTGCATCACGGGCTAGAGTTCATTCACATCTGAGTTGCTGCTGAGTGATGAACAGACCAAGAAGCAGCAAGATGGAAAAAAGTAGTTCTGAACATATACAGGCAGGAGGGCAGCTACACTAGGGCAGCTATTTCCATCCAATCACCTTTTGGAGCAGTGGCCTCAAGTGAAAACTGCCCTTTTTCTACAGGTTGAGGAAAGAAAAGGGATCAATTTCCTCACCATTAATGCAATTCACATTCTTCAGCATTGCACCTATTCTTACATTCCTATTCTTACCTTACCTTACTTGCCTTATTCTTTCCTATTCTTTCAGACTACAGCAAGCAGTGCATTTTCATTAACTAATGGTCCTAAAAGCAACAGTGACCAATTTAGAAACTCACTGGAGGTTTTGAGTAGGCAGCTGTATTGGCTGCAAATCTGTCCTGAGGCTTTTTTACTTCAGGCATAAGCAGGAGCAACTGACACAGCTTCCACCAGAATCGGGCAGTTTGAGTCAGCTTTTGAGACATGTGGCTCCTGTATCCTTCAAAATAAGTCTCTGGTAAACAGCAGTGTTTACTGCTCTAATTGCAGTGTGACTGCAATTCACAGGTGCAGTCAACATTCAGCACAAGAGACTTGGGATTTACAGGAGACACTGGAGCATGTGACTCCCCAGGGAAGAGCCAGGTCTGGCTTCAGAAATAAAAGCAACATCTGTGTGGCAATCAAGGGACTGCAGAAAGGGAGATCATATGCACGAAAGGTTGTTCCCAAGTGTAAGCAGCTCTACAGTTGCTGAAACTGGCCTAAAAGACATAGCAAGGGCTGTACTACTCCTTGTTAGCTCTGTCTTATGTTCCATCACACAGTACATACTGGTGGCAGAATTTCTTCAGGTTTCTCACCAAGCTGAGAAGCAAGGCAGTACCTCCAAAGGATAATTCCTTCCAGTTATCTGAGGAAAAAAAAGCCATGATCTGGAGATGCTGATCTCCATCAACTCTTTACAGCAAAGTAGCTGAACTGGCTTATATGGAAACCTACAGACAGCTTAAGTCAGTAACACTGACAGCAACTGATAGAAAGCTTAAACAAAAATACTTCATGCAAAATTCAACAGTAACATCTCCTGAACCCAGCTATTTTGCTAATTTTGTCCGGTTGAAGCCTCAGCACCTTATTCTTACAGAAATTACTAGGAAAACATTGCAATAAAAGGAACTATCATCATTGGCTGGTTCTCACTGCAGGTATAAAACTCAGAATATGCATGTGCCCATCCTGAATGCCTAAGAACAAAATTTTACAAGAAAAGGGCATGATTATGCAACCATGCACATGTTATTACTTACAAAAGAAGACTCTGACCAAAGTTGTCTTCAGTCAAAAAAAATTCCATTTCTTATAGCAATCTTGAAATGAATTACGGTGATTGACAAGGAGGTTCTCAGAATTATTTGAGGGACAATATGCCAAGCAGCTTTACTGATAAAGTCTGTATTGCCTTAAAGATTACTTCCCAAAGTTGTACTCCAATACAAAGCTAAGCAACTCAACATTTTCCAAGCACCTTTTTATTCCTGCACTTGGCAGTAAAGTGGTCTGTTTCAAATAACTGTACGGAAATTATTAGCAATTAAATACAGTGTCAGAAAAGAGATCTCTAAGTATCTTGGAAAGCATCTGTTCAATTTGCAGTTTATTTCTTAGCTCAATGTGATCTGTTTTTGTTATAGTTTCTTCATTTACTTGTTGAAAACTTGATAAATGGGGTTCATGAAATGAGGCAACTTAACTGATTTTCAAATATTTAATAAGCAACATAAGTTGAGGGTTTTTTAATTGAGAAAAAAGTGTAGTTTAAGTACTAGTAAGCATTCAACTCTTTTCTTCTTGTCTGTAACCCAAAAGTTCTCTTCCATTCTCATCTGCTTTCCTTACAAAACCTGCCCACTTATTTTCCAACAGTGAAATGCATCTCTAATTTTCTACATATCTTTCCTGAAAATAAATTCCCTAATTAGATGACTGAATACCACAAAAGCTATAAAATCCACAAGACATCCAGTATTGCAAAATCCACTGATCATCAGACTTTCTCTTGCTGGTAATGTGCAAAATGGAGTCAGAGCTCAGCTCAGAAAGGCACTTAAGAATTCGCTTTCCAAAAAACATTCACTCGAACCTGTGGTTGAGAGAGATTTATCAGGTCTGACTACAAAAGTGAAGTTTAATTTGGACACGCTTGATTAATTTCCTAAAGCATTCTTCAATACTGAAGAAATTCTGGGGGTTTTGGGGGTTTTGGGTTTTTTTTTTTTTTTTTGTTGTTGTTCTTGGTGAGTTTTTTTTCTCTTTTTTTAAAATCACCTCAAAAAAAAGAAGTCATAGTAACATAGTGTGTTAAGGGGTTGGAATGGACATCATTAGCCTCAACCCCCTTTGCCATGGGTGGGGACACGTCTCACTAGACCAGATTGCTCAAGGCTTTATCCAACCTGGCTTTGAACACTGCCAGGGTTGGGGCAACCACTACCTCCCTGGGCAATCTGTTCCAGTGTCTTACCTCCCTCACAGTAAAAAAACTCTTCCTAATATCTACTCTAAATTTCCCCTCTTTCAATTAATACCTGTTGCTCTTTGTCCTGTCACTACAGTTCCTAATGAAGAGCCCCCCCTCCAGCTTCCCCGTAGGCCCCTTCAGATACTGGAAGATTGCTATGAGGTCCCCATGCAACCTTCTCCTCTCCAGGCAAGTCAGTTGATGTTTATAGGGCTTCCCAAATGCCTCTGGGATTTCATGCTGGCACTCAAAAGCAAAAGCACACAAAAATCACAATGTTTTGGAATTAGAGCACTTCCAGATAATGGCCTTTATTCTGCATTTGCTGCTTGATCGGCAATTATAAAATAATAAATCCTTACTTGAGAGAGAACAAATAAACAATCCAAACCACTCAATATTTTTGCTCAGGAGGTTACAATATTTCATAAGAGATGGATTAATCTTTGAAACTTTGGGTCTAAACACATTGCATCAGTAGAACACACATGTTGGCTTTGCAGAATAAATGAGGAATATCGGAAGATGGATTTGACTCAATCAAAACCAGCTCAAAGCTTGAAAGCAGACCATTTCCCTAAAATCAGTATCTATACAATGAAGCATACTCAATTAGCTGTTCCACTGTAAACAGTGGCTGTTCCTTGTAGACAGTGGCTAAGGCTGATGTTTCTAGTCAGTTAGTTCCTTATGTTTTCCCATCAACATAAAAGGAAGCAGTAATTTGATGCCACTGTTTGACAAGACATTACCAGCTGTAGCTAATATAGATTTTTAACACCTCAGTGCAGATTTTTTTTCTGTTCCTGCTTGCTGCCCATCATGAGACTATTCCCTATATCGGAGGATAGAATTCCCAGGCCACTCTTCCACAACACTCAAACTGGAAACAGCCATGCAAGTTCCTGAGTGTTATTCCTGGTGTCACTGTCCACAAGCTGAAATAAATAGGATATTCAGGCTAAACAGATTATCAAGAAGAGAATTCACTGACCATTTTGCTAGAATCCAGGCCCCAGAGAAGAGATTATTTCCCCACATTTATATTAAAATAAAATGAACTGACTGCTCAGCCCTTTATCACATGTAAGCATATGCAGAAGGCACTGTGTGTCATGTAGGATCCCACAACTTGCTTCCCCTTCCATGAAAAAGACCACAGATCTGGATTCTTCCTGTGTAGCACACTGGACTATTTTTAAAGAACCACATACTGAAGTTCAGAAGACCCCATAAAACCAGAAAACTGACATCAGTTTGAACCGTCTACTATTAGAAGATAAACATAAGCTGATTTTAGCACATAAATCATATATTTCATGAGGCTTATTTTACAGTTACAGCTTCTTATATCACCTTGGTATATATAGAAGACTGATCTATGCTTCTTGGACTGGATAATTTTTTTTGCAGTAAGTCCTATTTGTAATTTCCAGGGAGAAAGTGTCAAAGTAGATGAAGGTTATGTGCTTTAGGATGAACTGGAAGTGCTTTAGGATGAACAAACAGCAGGCTAGCTCTACACTCAGTTACAAATGGATGTGCACAAAGAATGCCTTTGTGATACTTAGAAATTAGATGCAGTTAATTTGTATATTATAATCTATTGTCACAAAGTCTAGTGCCACTACCATGGGTGAAAACTGAAAGCAGGAATAAACAAGACAAACACCTTCTAAAGTTCTTCATCTTGTACCATAGAAATACTAATATGTAATACATAATAATGCATATTGCCACTCAAGCAAGGTAATAACAGTCTATGGTGATGCTGCAATGTTCCTAGGCAGGCACCATGCTAATTTTTACCTCCAATCATCCTTTGAGAGATTAGATAAAATATTCATCTCTTCATCTTCTTGCAAAAGACGATACGCCGCACTAACATGGTGATTTTCAAGCACAGATCGGTCATTATATAGAATGGCTGAGTCTGACCTAGCATTTAAAAGAAAACATAAGAAAGGTTGTTTCTTCCCTGTCTAAAGAGTCTCACATTCAGAAATTTTCCTTTGATCAGCCACAGCGATGAAGTCTGTAGAACAGATATGAGCATTTTAAGAGCACCTGCAGTACTTTGTTCATTGCTGTTATTCAGTAAAAGAAAACTAAAGTTCAAGACTCACTGCAAAATCTGTTTTACCAGCTGAGACTCACCTGGTCCCTTTGTTGCATACATGAAAACAAAAGCTGAAAGCTGTGAGATACATAAATTTGGAGTCGAATCATGACACCTTTTTCCAGTTCTTATGCACGCTACTCTGATATTAAAGTTTGACTGTACCCAATTAAGCAATTGCAAGATGTGGCTCAATATGGTTTCCAGATCAGCAAATTAGCTGTAAACAAGATACAACTGAACTGGATTCTGGCATCTGTATGCTAGACTATGCTGTCCAGAAAGGGCAGTTGCCAGTGGGACGGAGTAAGACCAAAGGTACTTCATGCCTTATTTTAAGCCCCAGGGCAGAGATCTGAGAATAATGAATGGCTAAACTGGTCTGAAGACAAAGTTAACGGCAAGAGAGGGTGAATATGATTTGAGACAGTCTCCACTTGGATCTGCTTCCCAAAGAGCAGTGTATATGTTTTAACTCTGACACTTTACACCCTCCTATGTTCAGTTTTACAGAATTTAAATTACAACTGTCCTCCTTTGAATCCTTTTATAAGTATTTGGGAGATACAGCAGATCCCTAATTCTTGTGTGCAGGAAGCTGGAAGAAGTTGAGTGTGGCTTGGCCCAGAATAGAGACAGGAACGTATTTCTACATTCCCAAGCTTTCCTGCACATATCTATGCTTTATCCTAGCAACCATTGTTAAGGACAGCATGATTCAGCTAACATACTACAGACATCTAATTTAGGGTAAGATATAATGCATCTTGGAAATGCCCAAGTGTGCAGAGTCTGTTGAGGACATCTAGATATTTTGTCATTGCTACCAGTACACTCCTATTGTCAAAATAATACACAGACATTAGATGTCCAATTATCATTGCAACTAGAGACTTTACAATCTTTGTACACTTCTGAGTTTTGCTGCCATCTTCATTTTCTTCTCTTTTACACGAACCCAAAAGCCTTATAAAATACACCATTCCTATCTAGCCTGTGATCAGTTAATTACTGTCTAGCAATTTACAAATATTTTAAAAATATTTCCCTGATTAGGTAATGGTAAACATATCCCCTTGCTGCAGGCATGGTTTTTCACTAAAGCAAAAAAACTATGTGTAGTGTTGATGTTCACCAGTGTATACAACAAATATTTTTGAATGCTTAATTTATGCAATTTATGTTTGATTCTTCAAATTCAACAAGGAGAAAGAAACCTGTCAAATTTCAGTCTCCTCTTCAAAACTAAACCTTCAAAAAAATGCATCACTCTGTACAGCAATTTGCCTTTGACATCTTTACACAGAAATATTTTGGGACCTTCCTTTTTCCCAATTAGCAGTATAAAACAATGCTCAGGAAGCTAGAACGGATGCATTCCATTGCAAATGGTTGAGGAATAGAAAATTAAATGCCACCTAAGGAAGTAAACTTCCCTCCTGTAACACTTGAAAGCATAAGTTCCTGCACTTTTCCAAGTGGCTGTGCTGTTATTCTACAAAGGTTTCCTCCTCCATTTCCCAACCCTTCATTATGATTTACAGTGGCCTCACCGTGTCTGGATGTGAAAGTTGTTGGTGGTTCCAGTGTGTTCAAAGTCATGTATGGTGGCTGCAAAGATCATAGCGAAGATTTCCAGCTCTGTCAGCCAGTGCTGAAAAGAAATTACAGAGCAATCAAACAAGCTGTCATTTTCTCAGGCATTAAAGCTTTCGTTTTTTAAGGCAAGTTAACCCCTATTGACAGGCAATGTTGCACATCATTGCCATACCCCTGCAGACTGATGGCTGTTTGAAACCAAAGTTCTCTGGCTGATGCACAAAAAGCCAATCCAGTGTTTTTATGAACCTTCATCTAGATAAATTGAACTTCAGCAAAACTGTTTCAGGAGTTTGCTGAGCTAGTCAGGTTTAAGACAGAGCAAGAGGAAACGTGCCCTTCTGAAAAAGCAGTGTTTGAAGAAGAGAGACAGGGAAATCTCAAGAAAATCAAGGTTCTTCAAGGAGTATGATAATACATATGCAGTTAAACACAAACCACCAGGGTATGTATTTTCAGTTCAGTTAACTGGTGTAGCAGAGACTCAGATAACTAAGAATGTCACTAATTTCCAGGTAACTAAAAGTCTGTCAATCACTGAATCATCAGGAGAACAGGCAAGGTAACCTCCCAAGACGTATATCCTGTTATTTATTTATCATTTTTAGAAATATTTGAGAGACATTTGGGGTTTTTTTTCCTAATCCCCTAGTCAAAGCCATATTTTTCAATGCATAAGTCACCATTGCCTTAGATTTATAAATGACTCAGATGGTTTTAATCCTTTTTCTCTGAGTCAATCAATCATTTTATTGTCTGGTTTTCCACTGGTTGCAGACAAGAAGTGTTGTAAGAGTGTTGTAGATGTTGCAAATATCTGTATGAAATGCTAAAATGTATTGCATTTAGAGAAAAGCTTCACCACAGTGGTTGCCAAATAGTTCTGTAACAATTTACTCTCAATCTGCAAATACTATGACTGGTGCTCATGTACGAATTGCCTTTGAATTCAAAGTCCAGTAAAGGCAGTATCGTTTTGAAAATCTATTCTAGAGATCTACTATAGCTCAGGGACCATCACTGTTCTGTTAAACACTTGCAGGGGAAGGATGGATAACTGTGAGGCTCTGCACACAGCAACCAGTCTTGTTCTGCTCCTGCATTTCACAGTCATCTCTGCATAACCAATGAAGAATGGAGCAGGTCCCAGTATTAAAGATCTCCTTAGATTAAACATGTAGTTTGAAAATATAGGCCAGAGGTATTTTGTACAATGCCACTGACCATAATCAAAGTAGGTCTTGATTTCTACACTGTATCCTCATTTCTACACAATTGGTCCAGGACATGAATGGACAGAACTGATGGTGGAGAAATCTGTGATCTTTTTGTTTCCAGGTGTGACTTGTGAATAAGGAATGATTTACAGCTGATAAAGAACATTATATCAACTTTCAAGCAACAAATTCTGGCAACTGCAGAAATTCTGGCAGAAAAAAGGAACTAGGGTTTGTAGGCTAACACTCTAGATCTGGACTTTCATTCCTAATTGTTGTCTGCCATTTCCCAAAAGGAGAGACTGCAAATGCTAGAAAAAATTCAGGCACAAGTGCTCAGGAACAGGCAGAGCATGCCTATATTATACATGCAAAACTCATTCAGGACACGTTCAGCTAATGCATCTGCACTTCAGACCTTCTGAACATCATCTGGCAAGACCCACTCCAAAGGAACTTATGATCCAAGTGTTAAAATATTGCTAAAACAATGAGCTATGTGTTTGAGGTCTCCTACCGTGTCTCTTAAGACATAGAGGAAAAGTGATAACTTGCATACTCTATCAAAGCATCAGTTGTTGAACAAGTTTGGGTAATGGAGGTTTTCAAGTAAGTTTAGCACTTCTGAGCAGAGGTACTAAATACCATAACAGCATTTGAGGAAGACCACTCAAGAGTACAGCTGGAATTACAGATCTGAACTCTTGGTGCCAAATAAATCAGTGTAAGTAGCACAAAGTCAAAATAGGCTTGTGAGTAACAGGAGAGAAAAAGCAGGTAAGTAATTGGAACCTTTTAGTCACTTTTTCCTGCTCAAGCTTGCAAGGAAATGCAAACAAGATGGCAAAGAGCCTGCAGAGAATAGATGCAATCTCCACCAAAATGCTGACTTTACCTTTCACTCGTCTGTGATGGACTTCAGCTTGGAAAAAGAGAGTTAGTTTTTAAAGAAAAAAGCCATTAAGAACAGCAGGACACTGTCACGGGTGAATAGAGTGAGAAAACGTAAATGTTTTTGATTTCTAAAGGGCTGACAAAACTAAACCAGAATAAAATTTTATCAAACTTTCTGAGATGGTAGGGGGTGGGGAATGATGGGTAAAAGCTATGAGAGAACAAGTATTTTCTTCCAGAGTGGAAACACCTCTCTGTCCTATGCTCCATCACACAGTACACAGTGGTGGCAGCATTTCTTCAGGTTTCTCACCAAGTTGTGCAGAAAAAGGCTTCAGCAACATACAGTAAGAGATACAAATATCACCACAAGTGATGCTGACTGACCAGTTTTTATGGTGATGTTGCATAGCCCATCTAGGGTACTCATGGCATGAGAAAGTGTTGGAATTTCATTGTGCTGAATCACATGGAACCACAATTTTCCCACATCATTTTTTACATCAGTTCTCACTTACAGAGTTTGTAAGAGTTGGGGAGTGTTCAAGAAGGCCTGAGCTGCAGTGGAGGGACCCCAGTGAAATGCAGCACAATACTACAGAATTACATGTATTCAAGTGCCAGCCACAAACAGAGTAATCACTGAATGGCCATGGCATAACGAGATAAGAGTGTAAAACATTGAGATAAGTGTGCAAAACATTGAACAGACAAACCTCCCTTTCACTGCTACCTTTGCCTCTACACTTCTGCCAATGCAAGGGCAAATTAGATGCTTGGAGAAGTGAAGCAAATAATACATGGAAAATATCTGTCCCATGGGATCAGACTAAAAGTAGTTTCATTCCTTTTTCTGGCTGCAGCAACAACCAGGATAACACAGAGAATGAGATACATATGTATCCTGTACACTTTGAGCTTTTCCTATTATTTATTATCCACAACTAAGTGCACCAGCAACTTTCTATGCCTTCCGCTGAATCCAAACTGCAATAGTTGATCATCACTCTAGAATCTATCTGCCTTCAATTTCTATAGTCCATCTTCAAATGCATTTCTGTTGTTTGTATTTGAAACTACTGTGGTAACATATTGTACACTGTTGGGTTTTTTTTATACCCTCTATCTATATCCTAACATTGTTGTCAGACTTCAGCTGTCTGTAGCCAGCTTACTGTCTATACATAGACTTACTGTCTATTTAAGCTAGTTCAGGTGGTTTTGCTGTAGAGAGTGGATGGAGATCAGCACTTCCAGATCACAGCTCTTGTTATGCTCAGGTAAGTGGAATGAATTATCCTCTGAATGTACTGCCTCCCTCCCTTAAGTTATGAAGAAAGCTTAGACAATAATAGGTGTCATCTTCATACTAGGTGAAATGGATTGCAACAAATGTGTGTTGGCAGATACACCCTGGAGATCTATGGCAGAGTGAAAAACCGAGCTTGGTTTTTTCATTCATCCTCTTTTTATCACTGCTAAAGGAGTTATTAACAACTTCACCTACCTTCTATTTCTAAATAATCCTAAATCTCTACTTTCATTAACTCAGTCATATCAAGTGAAGTTTGTCTACAGTGAAAACAGGTTCTGCTGTGGATAATTATAATATCATTATTGAGCAAAAACTGTTGTAATCTCACTATATATTCAGGATGCCAAGTCCTATACTTACCACTACACCTGTCTTGAAAAGAAGGTAATGGACTGTCTGTGTCACATCTGCAGCATGCATTAGGTTGTGATAGGGATTTTTGTGTTTGCTGTAGCCAACCTCCAGAGCTTCCACAAAAGACACCAGGGCAGAAATGGGAATCTAAGTAAAGAAGCACAGAATTAAAGGAAAAAAAACAACCCGGTTTTAAAGGCTAGCATTTAGAGGGGAATATTTTGATAAGAGGTTCCCAAAGAGCAGTTTGCACTTCACAAATAAACAAAACATTAACACATCTGAAACAGGCACTTGAGAGAGAGAGAGTGAATTCAAGATACTGCTTCAAATTGTTGTTTATATCCATAATTACATTATAGGTGAATCATTTCTACACATAAACAACAGAAGTAAGTGTACTATGGAATGTTGTCTGGAAGACACATAGAGTATGACAAGTTACAGGGACCACTTGATTGATTGCCCCTGGAGAAATATTTCTAAATAGACTACAAACAACTGTCAGTTACCTTCACAACCCACTGGAATATATCTCTGCTTTACTATTCATATTCGAGATTTTCTGATGAAGCACATCATCTAGCAAGCCCGAGATATTCTACTATGAGAATACCTCTGGGCTTTCAGAGCAAAATCCAGCCTGCCCATCCTGTGGGATTGTCCTGTTTTTCTGACTCCAAGAGTAACTGCAGACACCCAAGAAAATGCAGTCCAGGGGATTTCTAAAAAGGAGACTACACAGGTGGTGTCAACTGTAATGTATGCTACTGGCAACATGAGTTCTCCAGTTTCATCTTCTCAAACAGCAAATACCTTAAACAGGAATGTTTCCATAGAGGAGCACTGCTGTTCTCCCCTTCTGTACATATAAGCAGAGGATGCAGCTCTGGCCAGACACTTTCAAAGCTGTCTCATCAGGCATGAGCAGCTCCTGAAGACGTACAGGACCCAGAGATCTGTAAAATCTTTCCAGCCAAAGTGTTTGGGGACCCATGAGGAGTAGAAGTGTCAATAGAGGAAGGGACAACAGAGTATGTGTGTGGGGAGAATGGTCAAGACCTGGATGGCAATGTTTCTGCTATCTGAATCTAAGCCTGTTCAAAGTTGGAGGAAAAGATACATAGCTTTTGTATCCAAAAACCTCTGTAACAATTGCAAAATTATAGGATAGTTTGGGTTAGAAGGGACTTTAAAAGGTCACCTAGTCCACCTGCCCATGCAACTTGATCAGGTTTCTCAGAGTCCAATCTGACCTTGAGTGCTTCCAGGGATGGGGCATCTATCACCTCTCTGGGCAACCTGTTCCAGTGTTTCACCACTCTCACCATAAAAAAAAAATCTTTCTTATGTCTAGTCTAAATCTATCCTCTTCTAGTTTAAAATCATTACCTCTTGTCCTGTTGCAACAGGCTCTACTAAGAAGTTTTCCCTGATCTTTCTAATAGACCCCCTTCAAGTAGTAGAAGGCTGAAATTCCCCAGAGCCTTCTCTTCTGCAGGCTGAACAACCCCAACTCTCTCAACCTTTCCTCATAGGAAAGGTGCTCCAGCCCCCTGATCATTTGTGTGGCCCTCCTCTGGACCAGCTCCAACAGGTCCATGCTGAGAACTCCAGACCTGGACGCAGATGGTGTCTCATGACAGCAGAGTAGGGGAGCAGAATCACTTCCCTTGACTTGCTGCCACACTAATTGTAATGAATTTGAATTTGCATTGGTTATCTTTTTGTGCCAGCATGGTTAAGGGTCCTATGAAGCCAAGGAGAATGACACCATCATTCTCAGAGAATCAAAAGCATTATATGATATGGTTTTCATGGGGAAGCCTGTTTGGAATCCCATCCAGTTCATGGTTACATGTTACAAATGAAAGTACTACTTAAATCACATCTGGTCTTGCTTATTGAGGAAAGTGTTCACAGAGTCTTCAAAGATCGATCACTAAAATTGTATTTTGAATGGGACAAAGAGGGATGAGAGAGAAGTTGAACAAAATCCAACACGGAAGAAGATAACTCTCTTCTAACTACTGACCTTGAAACGGTTGATCAGATCATAACGTGTGAGAAGTTCATAGAAAATGAATTTTAGTGCATGATCCCCACTGGCATCGTTTAGTGCAAATACGTCAAAGGACCACTTGTCTACATTCTGTAAGGACAGGTAGAAAAGACAGTTAATATGGTAATCCCTTTTACCATGATAGTTCAATTTCTCTCACAATCTACAATTTGAGAAATAGAGTAGTGATGTAAGTGTAAAGGGTTTTTAAAATAAATTCTTCAATTCCATTTAACCAATGCAGAACCATCAGTATACTCATGGTATCAGTATACTCATCAGTATTGTTTGACTCATGTTTAAGAAGCTTCCATTAACAACATGTATGCTGTTTGTTTACTTTAAACATGGCAATTCTCCACATCAGAATTTAAGCACCAAAGGATGAACCCTAAAAGACAAAAATCCTTGTTTGCTTTATTACCCTATACCTTGAGATGGCCCTATTCCAGCTGATTTTACCCCTCTCTGTTTTCTACCCATGTGCTATGTCTATATGAAGAAGAAAATTAACTTTGAAGAAAAGAGGAATAATGAAGATATGCTTTTTAATGACATCAGAGCCTCTGGATTTTGCTGTCTCTATGGAGTTCTTTTAACTTTGTATTGTGAGCAAAGCCCTCCAATGCTTCACTAATGCTTTAAACAGAATAAGACTATATGTTTGGGGTTTTTGCAGTAAAAAAATAATACAGGCACTTGAATTAATATTTTTATCGCTTACTGTTCAATCACCCAAAATGATAACTAAGGACTATCTTGCTAGACCCAAAGAGCAACTTAATTCCTTCTGATTTTAATATCAGTCCAGAACTGTGATTATTGCAGATTAAATTTCCCAAAGAGCATGACCCTAAGAGACCAAGGAGAGAAAGTTCACTTTCCAACTCATAAGTGTAAGGTGTTTACCTTCTTCCAGAAGGTTAAGTTCAACTCAACTTTTAGTGGAGCCCATGGGAACTGACAGCACTCGTTATCTAGCAAGATGAAGCTCCTTGACCTCAGAATTGGATGTTTCTGAAACCATATGAAACTTTCTCTCCTTCCCCTAACAAAGAGCAGATGCAGATGGGAGTTGTAGCTGAAGAATGATATACAGATCAGCCATGTAGCTGCATCTGGCACAAGACTAACTCTCTATCGCTCTTGATGGCTGAAAAGTTTTATGTACTTCCCACAGAAATGTATCCAAATGACTCTACTTAAACCATATATTAAAGATTGGCATCCATACATTGAAGTGTCCTTCTACTTTAAAATTTTCTCACAGGTTACCTCCCATTTCCTTGTGGCAAGAAATGAAGGTTGGCTAGACACAAAGTTGAGTACTGTTAAGGACTAGAGTTCATGTAAAAATCTGCCACCTTTTTTAGCAATACTAAAAATGTTAAATTACAGCTATCTACTGGGCTCTTAAAGTCCAATGCACATTTGTTGTTTGTTGCCATGGTCATGTTCCAGTTAGGGACTTAACTTCAAGTCAAATGCAAAAGACATTTTAACCACCTTTTGGTTGGTCACCCATACTTCAGCATAGCTACAGGACTCCTGTCCTGAATGAGACCAACATATTTTGTTACCATCTCTTTTCAGCATGAGCTGATCCCAACAGCATTGCTACTAGTATAGTGTTGATTACACAGAGCTGAGTATAGCCCTTGTGGCAGTACAGTTCACAGAGAGGCTAATTAGTGAGTGAACATCAAGGATACTCAAGATTCAGCTCTGCTTTCACCTATCCCAGTAAATCTCTTCCTTGCTGAGCAGCTGATATTACAAACTGTATGGAGCTGACAAATTGAATACAGGGTCAAACTTCTCCAGCATTGTGACCCAAGTCACAGAAAAACAATCAGAAGTTGCAGATTTTCAAGACTTTCAATAGGCATTGGAGAGGAAAAACAACCAAGAGGAAAAACTTCCACCAAGGAAAGAAGTTTCGAAACCCTTGAACAAGCTTAGAAAACGAGTGAGAAAAATAGTGCCAAAGCATCCACTTGGACAATTTAAAGCATTTTCCCATTTTTGTGTGTTTTAATTTCATAATCACTTATCTCAGTCATTGAAACACATTAATTTTAAACTTGCAGGTATATAATAATTTACTTCTGGGTCATAAGACATTGAACATAATGTCTCAATTATGCTGAAAATTAATTCACTGTAAGGCAATCTTACCTTGTAGAAAATATAGGGGTGGGATTTCCTTTATTGTTAATGTTGTGGTCTCATAGCAGACAAAATTTACCAAATTGTGAAATTACAGGCTACTACATCTGAGCTGTTCTTCTGCATGAAAAAATGGTTAACCACATACATGACAATTTTCATAGAGGAGCTATTTAGATTTTAATTAGGCAGAAATCTTTGCTCTTGTTAAGTCAACAGAAGTTTTGCTATTGACAATAATGACATCAGCATTTTACTCTGAATCACTGGGGGGGGGGGAAATCCTCTTACCAGAAGCATGAAAGTGTCACAGATGGCTTAGAGGCTTGCAGCAGCATCAGTTACCCTTTTAAAATTTGTGGATTTTATGACCTTAAAAAAATTTTAACACAGAAGTGATCCCTATATTGGGAAGAGATATAAAGGGAGGTGAAACTTCACAGATGTCTTGTGACAGAGCAGAAAAACTGTTTCTTCTCCCCCCTAAGGAGAGCAGAAGTAAGGGTTTGGAAACTTTCTGTGCTATGCATGTTGCTAGGTCACTCACCCTGTAGCCTCAGTGGAAGTGTCATAAGCAGCTCTAATGCCACATATGGTAACTGTGGTGTAACAGAAAATAGATCCAAGACATATTACTACTCAGTTCTGTGTCCTTATTACTTGGTCATTGCTCCACTGCTTTGGGGAACCTAGAGATGAAGAGAAATACCAATTCTTTCTAAATACTCAGTTTCCTGCCTTTCTGTCTCTTCTTAAACTTGGAGAATTGTTATATAAGCCAACAAGAGGATTCAGGGATAGATGTTATTCTGCTCAACGTTGCTGGAAGGCCTGACATTTTCACAGCTACAGACAAGCAAGAGTTTATACTGCAGACATTGTAAGTGACTACAGGTCCTGTGTTCATTACCGTATATTAGCTAGCCTAGTAAATATTGCCATGACAGAATGGGCAACAAAAAAGACTGAAAAATTAATTTCTAAAGCAGGTAACTAATTCAGCATTAATTTATGTGAAGTTCTGTCTCTACCACTACACTGACGAACAGCAGATCACCACAACTCACTCAGTAAATGAGCATACTTACTTATTCAAACATGTCTGTATGAACAGTATGTATGGCCACTATTCAAGTGATAGATAAGGCTCATTGTCCCTTTTGTGGCAGCAGGTCTTACATGCTCACACCCATGTCATGGAGAAAGGCAATAGACTACTGCAGTATTAAAATCAGTATCCAATATATTATACAGAGCGAGATGCTGTGAAATCAATTAAAAACATGCCTAACTTCTAATCCACAGAAAAAAGTGAGACAGATTATACATCTAGGACTTGCACTGCTACAATCCGAATGTTTTTCAGAAGCTGCAGTATTTAATTGTTTTATTAAAACCAATCTCAGTTTGCCAAAAAGCTGTGATTCCACAGCCTTGGGTTACTCAGTGTAGAAGTCCTATTGTCCACAGCAGCAAAAATGAGAGCACACAGTTAAAAAATAAGCTTGCTTTGACTTCATGTCATCTCAATCCTTGTCCTAATTAGAATAACTCTGAGGGGAATGATGATTATGGCAATCTAGAACAAAGAATTTAGATCCCATTTGCAGGAGTGAAACTAACCTGCAGTAGGAAAAAGTTGTGGGTGGACACTGATTCTCTATATGAAAAGGATATTTGATCATTCTTCTTGCATTCAGAAGGACCTTTTGCAATTCCTCCGCATCTTTTGATGAGTTCTATTATTCAAAATTAAAAGGATTCAATACCCTAACTGTAAGTCTTTCCAGTGAGTAGTAATGTAGCAAGATGTCTTAATTACACTTACTATACCTGTGTATTGCTCCACTGCATCTCCTTTTTTTACCATTATATGGCATGTTTGAACTATATGCAACATAACCTGCAAAGCTGCTGTGCAGGCCGCTGGTTGCTGGCTTGTGTTTGTGTTCTTGATAATTCCTGCCTAAGTCAGGACCCTTGCAATTGCTCCATGGATTGAACATTCCTGGGTTTTTTTCAGGCTAATTCCTACTAATCATTTTACCTCTGAAACCTCAAAACTCATAGAAGGGTCAATATTCCTAAACTGAGTGTCACCTTGAAGACCCGAAGCTGAATAATGTGAGAAATTCCTTTCTCTCACAGCAACTTTCCTTCTCCACCTCTCTACATCTGTGTTTTCTTTCTTCCCTGTGAGATGCTGTGATTAATTCCTAAGTCCTCGGTTTAATCACTGTAATCTAGAACAGAGCTGTAACCTTCACAACCTGAAAATGGCCACAGCCTTGAACTCTATTGTTTCCTTTATTGAAAGGATATTCTCTTAGGCTGGTTAAATGATTAATGTAAGTGAACTAAACTAAATGTCAGAGACAGGGAAAGGCCAAGTACCAAGACACCCTTGTCAAGTCAAATATCACAGTATTATCTTGGTGCTTTGTACAGGCTCCCCTTCAATACTATTTATCTGGATTACCTTTAGCACTCCAATAACAGCTGGTGGGTAGCTCAAGCCAACCATATTTGAAGTCCTTCTGTACATTCTACCAAGATAAAATAGATAAGGCAACACATGAATGAAATTAAGCAATATTAAACAATCAACAAAAATCATAAAGCAACTGACCATTAAAGGAGACTGTAATGGTAAAGTAAAATTACTGTAATTTAGACCAGAAAACCTTAACTGCAATTTTAGTTTTTCTCCTTCCATCTTGCTCCTAAGTTGTACAATATTCTCTACATTATTCTTATTGTAAATCCTAATTTGAGACTACACATTCTCCAGTCTTTCATAACTTGGTTATCCTGCAGGACATGATAAAGAATTTGCCAATATTAGGTCTTCATCAAACAGAAATGCTACACTCAACCAAACAAGATATTTCCCATTTTCCACTGCAGAAAACTATACTGATTTGTCACTTCCCTTAGTCCTTGCTGGCCCACATGCAAGCAAATTCTGAATATACTTCAGAAATCATTTGTTGTATGCAATGAATTCAGTTTGGAACAGCTGTTAATTTTGTCTGCATGGGTTTTTTTCTCTCAAGGAGAGAAAAAGTGCAAGGCTAGAATCAACATCCATAACCATACTAAACAAGGCATTGAAGTATGTACCAGATTTTAAACTTGTTTTCAGGTCACACTGCATTCAACACACTTGGTGAATGCAGAAACACTGTCACACCTAAAATGCCTTTCCACAGGTTACCCTTTTTTCCTTAAGAAATGCAGGACTGAAAGGAGGTGATGAAAACCTCTCTTCTCCCATCTGAAATGATCCTGTGTCTTCCTTCACTTCCCTTTCTCTTTGTCATGTTCTGCACTCAGACCTGAAAAAAATTCATCCCCCTTTGGAGAATTATATTCACCCATTCCCCAAATTACAGATTTTCTTATCCCTTCATCACTCCAGTCAGGAGCTCCATAGCCTTCTCTTGAGTGATGATTCAGGTAGAATCTC